GACTAGGTCAACTCAACGCCACTGGGCTTTGCAGTGGATTGAGTTGAGTGGTGTGCAACCTTGCTGGTGTCACATCTCAGCAGCTCAAAAGGGAACGCACAGAAAACTCTGCGAGCGTGGTTGACCTGATACGCCGCGGAGACAGCGTGCACGCTGAACAAATTGGCGCAGAGAATTAGAGAAGCTGAAAGCGTTGACTTGGTGATATAGCCGGTGCAAGCCTCCTGCTGCAATCCTCTTCTCGAGCGTTTGCAGCCACTGGGCCGCCTTTGGGACAATATCCTGCTTCTGTCACGTGAGGCAGTTAGCTGTCATTGATTCTGTTGTTGTTGAAAAGCTTGTGTAGATGGCTCCCCCTGCTTCTCAAGAGCGACATCCTGAGGTTTTATCTGTAGTTGACCGTACCGATCCCTTCATCTATATGCTACAATCTGTGTGAAACACATATTGGCCATCTGTAACACTCCTGTGACGGAGCAGCTTCATAACATCAGTTGTCACGCAGGTTCACTCTCCTATGTTCAACAAACAGTGGCAGAGTTATCCGACAGCTTCTGCTTCCTGTCCACTGTTGACGTCCCCGTGAGTGATGCCCATAGTACGATGCTGGACCCACTGCTGACGTATTGTTAGATACGAAGACTGGGAATTTATATTCGAGAAAAGCTACGACACTGATGCTTACTACCGACGGGTAGATCCAAGCCTCTTTGTGGGTGTATCAGGTCATGATTTGCCATTGTCCAACTGGACCAGGGTATCTACTGATGATCGCCGCATGAATCATTTACTCAACTTGTTCTTCACCTGGGACAATATTGTGGAGCGTATAATCTATCGACCAATCTTCGAAGAGAATGTTAGAAGGAGCAGAAGAGGGAATCAAGGTGACTATGACGACAATGCCGACAGCGACTTTTGCTCTCCCTTTCTGGTCAGTTGCCTACTGGCCTTGAGCTGCGTAAGTCAAAACACAACCTGCAAGATGATTTGCTCTAATGCATTCAGCTCTACTCGATGGACCTAGCAACATACAAAGACCCTGGGGATCCCAAAACAAGGGGGAGGCTGTGGGCGGAGGAAGCTGAGCTTCACCTGCAAAATTGCCCCCGGCCATCCATTGCTCTTATGCAAGGCCTATACGTTTTGCTCATCTATGAGGCCAGTCTTGGTACTGGCGCAAGAACGCTGCAAGACTTGGCGCGATGCATGGATGTCTATAGAATTCTCAACGATAGGAACATGGACGAGCTTACTGACCAGACGGTGCCCGAGCCTCGACGGAGGCTCGAGAGCGAGAAGCTACTTCTTGGTGCATGTGGAGAATATATTGCACTGAATGGTGAGTGGACTTTTGAGCCCGAGCTCATGATGATGCTCATGTGTTGACATTGGCTAGGCGATCTACTGAGGCGCTTGGCATTCGAAAGTTGAGCCGCCCGCCAAAGATTGATAAATTGTGGCGTGAGAGCAGCTTCACACTTCGCCAGACTGATTCCGCAGCATACTGTTGGTATCCTTACCCGCTGAGCCTTCAGATGCAGCCATCAATGCAGGTGGCTATCAGGGAGGCAGATGCTGCGCTTTCGGAGATTGTCGAATTGATACTAAACTATCTACATCCCGACGAGAACGGCACCGACGCTGTATCCAAGCCGGGCTATGCATTGGAGCTCTACGACGCTTTGCTCAATTGGAAATACGGGCTTCCCGATGAATTGCTATTTGAGCAGTCTGTGCTGCCGTCCGTCATTGCTTTGCAGTAAGTCGACCGCCCCAAAGTACTACAGAGACGCACAATGACTGAGAACTGAATAGCATCGACCTGGAGACGGTGAGCATGACTCTCCTACGTCCTTTTACTCACATGACAAAACAAGAGTTTGGCCGATTCAGCCCTCGGGAGCGATGTGCCGCACATGCCGGCCATCTGGTGTCGACGGTCTGGTCATTTCGCGCCCATGGCCAAGTCCGCTACGAGTACTACCTCATTTACGCTCTGGGAGCTGCTGCCTACGTCCTGCTGCAAGAGCCAGACGCGCCTGTGCAAATGGACTCGCTGGTCCGTGCTTGTCAGTGCCTCTTTGAGATGCACCTGACGTTACCGCCGGCGGCCGATACTCTGAGCGGTATCCGTGCTGCGTTTAGGCTGTATAGGCTGGCGGTGCCAATGTACATGG